CTTTTGTCTGGTGTGCTATGGCGGCTAACATACAGTTAAATCAATACTGGATTGTGATCCAAGGAAATGATCGGACATTTTTAAGATAAAAAAAATCAATGGTGGTGGCTATGTTAAGGCAATAGCGTGTTGGCATGAGCGGAGCTGCAATATGGAGATTGGCTGTCATGGCAAAGTTGTAAAGGTGTTTTCCTGCGGCGTTGGTTGAGTTGCAGTTCCATATGTGATGTTTAGCATTAAAATCTCCTTCTATGATTACTCTATTGTTAAGTTTAAATATAGTGTCCAAATCTGAAATGATATCATTTATGTGTTTATCTGGTGGTAGATATAAGGAAACTAAAGTGATGGGTGGTGTAGTGGGTGGCATGATTGTAATAGCTACTGCTTCAGAAGCTAAAAGCTGTGGAACTGTAAGTATGTAGTGAGTGATAGAGCGTTTAATTAGCAAAATAATACCTCCGGCTGTATGGCTTCTTTTTGGTCTATCATACCGATGCATATCATAATTTACAACATGAAAAGTATATTGAGGGCCAAGGATGTGTTCCTGTATGAATAATACATCGGGCTATGCTCATTTATAAACTCCTTCAATTCAGAAATTCTTTAAAGGAGACTATTAGCGTTCCATGTAATGATAGTCAGGTTTTGGGTGTAACTATTCATGATTAGGTTCATTCAGCTCTTCTTGTATAAAGAATAGTATATAGAGTTTTTCCATTTGTGTTTCTGCTGTACAAAGCTGATTTAAATTCTTGTTGATAATCCCAGCGAGTTTAGATATTTGCTTAAATCTGAATATAGACTCTAGTTCTTTTATAAGCTTAAGTAATTCCAGAAATCCTGCCCAGTTAAGATTTTTAGTCGGTTTGGGGGTATTATTAGCAGTATTTAATTTATTAGTTTGATTTATTTCAACTGTTTTCCTCTTGGCTGCGGCTATATCTAAGGCTGTGTTCTGACTGCTTGTAGGTTCTGCTACCTGAATTTCTTGCATATTTTGAACTTTGCTGGTTAGCAGAGTAAAGTTTTTTAGGTCTGCAATCTATTATTTTTAGGTTTTGGAAATTTTTTCACACCCCCTATAGGAAGCCAGATGAGAATTATTGCAGTTCGCAGAGACAGGATTTTCTATGAAACCTTTCTTGGGGCATAGTACAGATTTATGTTCCCCGCGCATTATACACAACAGGGAGTTAGAAAACAGTTCTCTGAAGAGTGGTGCCATTTTTGACAGTTTAGACACTGTGGTATTAAACTTTTGTTCACATACTTTTGAATTTGCACTATAAAAAGTTACATATGGGTGACCTGGTAAATATCTTCAACATTAGGCATGGGTAAGATTTGCACTTGAAAAAGTGACATTGGTTGTCTGGTATGGTTTCTGGTCATCTGAGTGACTTTGTGTATTTTGAATCCTAAATCCTTGAGAATATCAGCAATTTCATCTGTTTCCATATCAATTAGAAGTCCGCAGCTTACAAACTTAACAGGTCTTAAGTGGTGCTCTTTAATGATATAATGTTCAACTTTATGATCTTGTAAGCATTTTGTGAGAATCCTGTGATCATCAGGGGTGTTGGGAAGAATTTTCAAGAATTCACTGTTAATACAGCCGAAAAATTTGGCTTTTAAATTATCTGCAAGTGGTTTCATGTAGGGATTAAATTTGATATTATCTGGGGGTTTAACCATGACAGGAGGTACAGATTTTGGCTGCGGTGGGATTTGAGTTTGTTGCATGAAGTTATTAGATTGACTGTTAGTGTTTTGTTCTGTATAGCGAGGCGAGTTATTTTAATTTGGGTCTAAAGGACTAAATATGTTCTTCATCATGATGTAGTTAGAAACATCTCTCAAAGGAGTTTTCTTAATTTGTTTAGAAACTCAGGTGGGTCTAACAAATCCATCATTCCTAACATTCCAGTCATCTCAGCAGTCTGAGCTTCCCGGTAATTTGCGTTTAATGTTAGAATTAGTTGCATTATCAATTTGAGTAGCATTAGCATTATTCTCACCATTGGCGTAGCAGGGCAAGGCGGGACATCTCTCCTCGGACACAGCATCCAAGGGACGCCAAATTGATGCTACGAAATATTTTAATGAAATGTTTTCCATTTTTGGCACACAGAAAGGGGCTCAACTTCTTCAGCACTGTCTCCGAGCGCTGGAAACTCTAGCTATGCTCCTGATCCTCACAATTAACAATATTATTAAAACAGCCAGCAGGATTTAAGAGGGGATTCCTAGCACACAAAGTAATATAAAATTCGCACATACCCCTAAGGTGCTTCATTTCCATTTTCATGACCCGAATCGCTTTCGCCATCAGAGGAGTATATTAGTCTGGGTAAGATACAGAACGGACAGCATCCAATTGTTGTTTCAGAATTTTAGTTTGTTTGATCTTAGCTTCTAGTTGTTTTATCTGGCCATGAAGTTCTAACACGACTAGTTCCGGCTTAACTTCTATGTTTCCGTTCTCCAAATTATTCACTGTATCCATATTTGTTTCCATATCAGTATTCTCTAAGTCAGTAGGTGCACTCCAGTCCGAAGTCTGCTTATCCGGCGGTAATAACGTCGCCAGCAGGTGAGGGATCATGGGCTGACATGAGCTCAAGAAAAAAAGCAACCTTCACCCATAGAGGCTGAAGGCAGAATCCGATAACTCCCTCTTCCCAGAGCACTCTCCGTCAGAACTGAGGGGAGGACTGGGCAAAGTTGCACTGTGCCCAGTTTGGTGCCCCAGGCACAATCTTGGTCCCTTGCTATGATTAATTTCATGGGCTTGCTCTGATTTCAGAGACATGATCGGATGTTACTGTTGATCAGGTGGATAAGGCCACATAGGATTTTGGATTCTGATTTTTTCCTTAAATTCATTATAATTTACATTTACAAACAGGGCTTAAACCCCATTTATACAAATGAATGGCCTTGCATATTGACAGATGACCCTTCCCTTGAATGTTGGTTGTTTGTTTTCCAGCTTCCAGTTTTAAACAAAGTTATTTCAAACCTTTTGACAGACTTCAGGTTGTTTTCACCATTTTCTTTTGGGGGTGTGTTCAAATTGCTTATACACACCGATTTAATGTAAACTGCACAAAAAACACTGGGGGGACAGTTATTCTCTCATTCTACAGGGCGGTTTGCCAAATTGTGTTTTTCATTCAAAATTTTGAAAATTTTTTCCATATTCGATTCTATATTATCCTAATTGTTCTACGACCCCCAAAATTTTTATAACCATTCTTTTCTATTTTTACTTTTGCATCTTCCCTTTCATTTGCAAGAAAATTCAGTTTGGCGCAAAGGCGCCAAAATAACCGGAGATTCTTCTTTAATATTGGCACCAATTTTCTTCCCTTCCATTACGACGGAGGGTTATAAAAAGCCATCTCTTTCTTATCTTTTTACATTGTGCGTGAGCGGGAAAATACTTCCTCTTTCAAATAATTTTGCAAAGTGTTCAAAGTTGATTTTTTTCTTGCTTTTTTAAATACGGAAATTTTCTAAATGCGCTCAAAATAACACTGGAAAATTTTGATAGCAATTTTTTTAAAACTCTTTGTGCGATTTTTAGGTTCTTTCGGGTTTTGGCCAATTTTCTCTTTTGACAATGATTTCAACGGTTGGAATTTAATCAAATCGTCCCCGAGTTTTTTTTTTTTAGAACTGTCTCCCCTTTTTATTTGCCCCACTGTACATTGTAATTTTTAGGTATGTGCGTTGCCCTCGGTTTGGCAGTTTTGGATGATACGCAGTTCTTTATTTCAGCACAGCTTTCTTAAAGGAACATATCAAACTAAACTGATGCAAAAGGCTTTTTCTCATAATTTTAAGCATACTCATTCACAGAAGTGTAATAACTGATAGATGAGAGAGCACATATGAAGACTTGTACGAGATGAGCAAGATTACAGATGTTAGATTAAGAAGAAGGAAGTTACTTAATTTTTCAGTGGAGAGACATAATATCCCTTTATTAGTGTTGGTTAATTAAAAACAAAAAAGATCCCTAACAATTCATCAGCATTTTAAATTAATGTAATTAATAGAATATGTTCATTTGGTTACATAATTTTAGGTTAATATAATTTTTTATTATAAGCAAAATAAGCATATTATAAATGACTGAAGAAAATTTACAAATCACTATGATGCCATCTACTATTACTGTTGCTATCCCTCATATTTTCTTTCCTTTTATTTTATGTAGACAGTTTTGTTCTATGCTGATGGCTGATGATGGTGATTTTCACATCATTCTATAATAATATACCTTTTTTTGGGGGAAGCGGTTGGTTAAGCTGCCTGTCGTTAATTAGAAATCAACAGTAATTTAAGACACATTTCAGAAAAAGAGTTTTAATAAACATTTCATTATTTTCAGAATAGACAAGGAAAACAATGTAAAAGAAGAAGTATATAAGGAGATTTTATCCTGTTTTATTTTATCTTTTATCTAAAAGATTTTATCCTGCCACACATACATCAGAGAGAGAGAGAGGATATTTAAAAAAGGTAGGTACAAATTTTATTTCCTAAATTACTGATATCAGTCATACACTTAGAAATCTAAAATTTATCAAATTAAGCCACAGAATTTTATAAACACTATTTAAACACTGCTTGAAATGTTTTGAAGATAGGTATTTTCTTGGATGATTTATAATTTTACAAGGGAAAACCCAACACTCGTTAGCTGAACACATGAAGTTATTAATTAGTACCAGTATTTCTATGAATTTAACACAAAAGCTATTCATTTACTGTTTTTGGCTTCTCATATATATAACGAATTGCAGCAGGTTTAAGCACTCTTTTAATAATGTATTTTTAAATTGTTTTGGTTTTAAATATATATGCATACATGCACACATACATCCTAATTTCTAAAGAATTGAGTGCATAATAGTCTATAAATCAAATGTAATTAAAATAGTGTTCAGCAATATTTTGCATATGCTAGACAAATTAGAACATACCTATTTATACTAGCTATATTTCCAGTCCCAAAAAATGCGAGAAATATAAAAAATATCTGAAAACTATTTAGGAAATGAAATGGAAAATAAAGAACTTTTTTTATTATTAAAATGCTTAAAATAGAAATTTTGTTTCCATTTTGTAATATAACACAGAAAGTCATTTCAGTTCACAGACTTAAATAACATTACAGTTTACAAATAATAAAGAGAATAATGAGTGATTTAAATATTAAAAATATTCAAACTAAGAAATTACAAATCTGTTTAAATTTTAGAAAGATGAGAAGTAGTTTATAAGCAACTACTGGAAATAACCACTTTTGACAATACTTGATACAGATACATTTGATTGGCATAAACTGTGTTTTTTTTAATTAAGTTCAATGACTCTTAACTTTAAACAAAGAAGATTTAGCACAAATACCTAACTGATTTAACACAGTTTGAAATGAACACCACTCCTTATATTTGAATAAAAATACATTTTCTTTTAAAAGAGATGTAGAACATAGCTTGCAAATATTTAATGTTTGGAAGATGAGCTATTCTTTTTTTTTTTTTTTTTTTTTTTACCAAAGTAAGATAGCAAGATAACTCAATAAGATTCTCTCCTTACACAGAAGCAAATTCAAACAGAACACTAGTGTTAAATGGATCTTGAATTCCTGCAAACCTATCAAAATTTTTATTTTGAAATTATTTCTCAAACCAGATAATTAGCTGTGATAAGTGCCCTTAAAGCATGCTTTTTTTATCTTGAAAAATATAAAAAAAATATGCCCAAAACTACTTCAATAATAAAAAATAATCTCTGCCTGTATCTTCATTAAATTTTCTTTTCCTTAGTTAGAGTTTTTTATAAAAGCTAATATTTTTTCAGCCTATATAGAGACATTAGGTATTTTTGGAAGCAGGCAAGATGAAAAATTAGCAACGCCTTCTCCGGGAATCGAATCGTGGACCTCTGGAATATGCGCCCAGCGTGCAGACCACCACATCACGAAGGCACACCAGGAAGGTGGGAGAAATATATTACAAGCTGACTTCAAAAGATGCATGATATTCTCTGCAGAAAGAAATTAAGAGAATTAAGCTTTTCAAAAATGTTGTATAAATATGCCAGTTTTATTAAAATATCAGCAAAATCTTCTGCATCTTTGTATCCTTCCTCTTTAAGGAAAATAAAAATCTCTTGCTGCAATTCAAAGATGCATGGTAATACATTACTGTGAGAGAGCCATCATGCACGCATTGCTATGGTATAACAAAGATGAGTGCTTGGTTCCCATACCCTCACACAGTATTTTTAAAGAACCTTGCTTTCAATGGACAAGATTTTTATAAAATTTATAATATTCATAACATATTCTTACATCTGACTCAGTGCAGGACTGAACTGCTTTAATGCAATCACTTCTCTATATATAATGCAATGGGTCCACAGTTCATTTGGTGATTTACTTTGAATAAGTGTCTGTAATCCTCCACAGCAGCTTTTTAGATACGAATGTAAGAAGAATTTCAAATAGGTCGTGAGCCTTTGCTCCAGCAAGGATATTTTTACAAAACAGAAGGTCACTTTAATATTATTACAATCTATAAACTGTACATACCATATCAAATAAGCATCCTAATTATTACCAGTAGCCTTATCTAGCTGCAATCCACATTCCACTTCTTAACTTTTTTTCAATTAATTGATTGTTGATATCCTCTGTCATATGTTGAAATTTCCAACTAATTGGGTTATTGGACAAAGGCACTATTAAGCAGCTTCCCAGCAGACTCATCAACCATGATATTTATCATATCTACAGCAGCTGGTAGAATAAGTTCTTCCGCGATGGTGCGAGTTCTTTTACATTTTGCAATACCATAAGCCACCTTGTAAGATGCTAGCAAAGCACTGTTTGGTCGACGCAGTCTTAAAAAATGTAATTTTTTTGTTGTTGTTTCAGTTCTTTCAACTTTGAAAAAAAACTGCGGTTTGCAAACCATGCCAAAGTGATTAGCTTCTAAATGCACTTCAATTTACTTGGAAGCATACATTGCACTGCAAAAATTTTTATACACAATATTTATTGCGGTCTTTCTTTACCATTCATTTCTGCTGACATAACCGTTGTTATATTTATGATATTTTCATTTCTTCATAGTCATTCCACTTGGTTAAATACATACTTTATCTGCACTATTACGTTTAGTATTTAAAAAATCAGTCCATCATCAGGATACAAGAGCAAAATATCACAAACTTTTTATCAAGGACAACAAACAAGAAGACAATATAACACTATCTCTACTACATGAACTAATTTATATCATCATTTATTTATATGAAGAAGTGAGTTTACATCCACTATATTCGCATTATAAATCGATTGAGTAATAGCCAGTAATGCTTGCTTATATACTTGCCGCAAGATCTTCCACAGCAGTCAAAATCTGTTGTGAAGGGTCTACACATCTCAACATATTTATATTACTGCTCAACCTAAGTCTAGAATGCTGGCTATAGTAGAAAGTGCATGCATTTGATGTAAAATACAATTCTACCTCTTTGAAATGTCATAGTGTAAAAATTACACTTTGAAATATTACTGTGCATAGAAAATGAAATTTAATAAATTATGCTTCACCCAGCTTTTTATTTAAAAATTTGCTACTATTATGTCAATCATTTGATGACCAATAGGAAGACATTCTTTTTTTTTTTTTTGTATTATTTGCAAAATTGCAAATTTCAGGAAGCCCGACCTAACCCCACTTTTGATTAGAAAATCAATTAAAGCATTCATTCGTTCACTGAATGGGAGGAGAAGAAAGCAAATGTTATGCCCTCTGCTTCATCTTTGACGTATGTGTATAATTTTAAAATCTAATAAGGCTGGAAAACCATTATGCAGGTCTGCTAAGATTATCATTATGAATGTTTTTGTCAAAATATGGGAGCATTTTCCTAATAAAGCTGATAACATTTTTATTTTTGCTGCTCTTTTGATAGGTGCTCTTGTGACAAGCATAAATTCCATGAAATCTGACCTGAAAAAAAATGCTGAAATTTTAACTTCAGGGAAAAAAATAAGATATCTGAAAGTTCGTGTATGCAAACCTGAATCAAACAACATGATGAGCTAACTTTAGCAACAATTCGAAGGAAACTTCGCTGTTTCTTTCTATGGAATGAGCTGAGAAAAGGTTGTTCTAGCCTTGTACATGTTCTCAGATTAGATCGTTGTGAGGTATAATGTGATTGATAGCGTGCAGCATTGCTGGTTTTTATTCCCAAGAATATTCTGTACCAGAGACTTTACTTTTACAAAAGGTCAAGTAAAAAATTCTAGATATTTTTAACTTTTCACTTTTTTTTTTAGTTAGGCCAATGTCTTGGTTGAATTAATTATGAAGCTGTTATAATACATTGCAAAATCCACGTGAAGAGGCTGCAGCACACAGTTTGGAAACCACTGGTCTGGACTAAGAATAGTATCGAGAATAGTAAAGAATCTATACTTAAGATGTAAAAATTTGTACAGTACAAAGTCAGAAACCCGGATGTCCATTATCTGGAATGATCTAAAATCCAGACCTCAAAACCACCACCACCATTTTCTCTCATACGCTTTATGCATGAACATTTGATTCACCCCTCCACAAATAATAAAACATCTGAAGAGTACCGATTCTTAATTTCACAAAATAATATTTAAATAAAATACCTTATTATTAAAGAAACAATCATTTTAGCATAAATTTGTATGATCAGTAATTTGGCTCTGTTGTTGCGTATGTATTTGGCACACATCTCTAACCGAAACATTCCACATGGCTACATCGTTGATTTTGTGCAAAAACATGACAACTTGAGTAATGACTCGTGTAGCGATGCGTAAACAATTTTTTTAATGTTAGTAATTGAATAATAAAGGAGTATGGTAACCTTTTAATGTTGACATTATGCTTGGCAACGATTAGAGATTGCACTAAAAAATGTTAAATGCACTAAAAAATGTTGACGAGGAAAAATTTACCAAAAATTTCTTTCCATATGCTAAAAATACATTTTGCTGATGATACTCATAGACCCAAAGATTACGTTTAGGCTATTTGAATTAAGAATAATTTATTTATTGTTCACATAAACTCAGAACAAGTTCCAGAGCTCATATGACCGCACCGCATCGCAGAACTTAGGACCAACAGAGATTGCATCAGACGGTAAGACATCTATCCCCAGCCCTCTATAAGGCTTAAATATATATGTGGGAATCTTTTTATTCAGAACTCTAATAAGCCTTAAGCAAGTGCAAGAAATAGACATAAGTATAATAAATAATTAAAGCTAACACAATTCAGGCTAAACTGTTTCAGTGCACGATGGAAGCAAGATAAAATTTAACGAAACAACTTGTTGTTAGTTGCCAAGCTCATGATGCATAGCCAAATATGTATAGTGAAGGATAGCTAAATTTGATGATGATAGCCACTAATTTTAAAGGATTTCGGATATCGCAAAACAAAGGTGAAATTTTCCAATTATTGGATTTTGTAAAGAAATGTGGAGAAGCGGTAATAAATGAAGATGATATAAAAGAAATTTTTCATTGCAATGATAATGCTTCTCAATCATCAATCAATTAATGAATGGCGAAATCTGTAGTATGGTTCTAGACAAAAAAAATACAGCTATCGATAGTGAAGAAAACGACAGAGATCTTACTGAAAACGAGAAAATTTCGATTGGCAAATTAATCGGAATTCTCAATACAGCAGTTACAGGACTTCAACAATGTAACTAAACAAGAGATTATGTCTACAGAATTAAAGAGAAAGTTTTAGCACAAAAAATGAAGCAACTTAAACAACTTACATTGAAAGAAATGTTTAATAAGGTAAAGCAATAAATATTAAGCTTTGTTTTGTAAATTTTGATACACTTTAGATCATAAATACTTCATTATTTCATAAATCACATTTCATATTTTTAATTTTATAATTGCTACATGCCATCTTACTAGACTTAAACTGATGATTTAATATCGGAAAAATTAAACATCCGGAATCGCCGAAATTCCGAGTCCGGATTTCAGACTTTGTACTATATCTATTTCTTCTGATACATAAATGAGACCAATACAAATTCACAATGTGCTTTTAAATAGAAAGTGATATTTTTCTGCTGTCACAATTTTGCCAGCTTATCATTTTTGTGCAGCTATTTGTTTACATTGATTTGGATTTGCACTAGATGAATGAAAACTGGACAGTAACTAAAATTAATTTTAAAGATATGTTTAAAAATCTTTGTAAAGCAACATTTTAGGCTGATAATAAAGAAAAGGATACAAAAAAATAAGCTCTTCTTAAATCTGCCAATGATAGTTCATGAAGAATGGGCTTCCGAAGGACATGAGTAGGACTTGACACAAAAAATAAATCTTGTAACTGAAATCATACACATTGAAATTTATGTAAGAAAAATTTTCAATTATAAATCTATCAACAATTCTGGAAATATAAAACAATTTGTCAACTCCACATATGCTAAAATTTGGTTTACCTTTTGATAATTATAAGAAAGGTGATGCTCTAAATACAGCCAAAGTATCATCTGTATGCACAAAAACAAACAAAATATTCCTTCATGACTCAAGAAAGTTAAAGAAAGTCAAGAAAAGTTCAAATAATAAATACTATTTATAACTGTATAAATGCAATTACACTTTATAAATTCTTAATTTATTAAGTTTGTATAGTAAACATAATCAAGAAAAAAATTGAAAAGTTTTCTCTCCAGTATAAGGGAAAAAAAGTCGTGTTTTTTTTACAGTCAAAGAAATCAGTATGAAAACATTAAATGTATTAAATTAACAAATCATTTGGTGAATATAAAAATTAAAAAAGTAATTCAGTTTGTGCATAAAATAAATGCTATCTCATTTTCAAAATAAATGAAAATCAAAAGCTTTTAAACACTAATTCTTATGAAGTTAATTCAGGCAGAAAATCTGGATAATAGTTTCAATTACATAAATGCTACAAATTAGAATATGTGACATTTTAGTGTTAATATTAGATCACTCCTTTTTTTTTACTCTGATTGCAATTAAATAGATTAAAGCTTGATATTATTGCATTTCAAGACAACTTGCAAGTAAGTAAATAAGATGAAAAGGAAAATCCTCAAGTAAGTAAATAAGATGAAAAGGAAAACATATTTATTTTATTGCAACTTTTAGCAAATAAACTAACACAAATAAGGCAAACTGTATGATACTAGCTCCAGCAATTTCAAGACACTACTCTGTTTAAAAAAGAAAAAAATATTTTATGCCAACTTCCAAAAGTATAGGATAACCTGCTACCAAAAATTTCCATAATATTAATGGTTAAAAGAAGCAACAAATTGCAAACTTCCTCACAGAATAAGGTCAAAATTAAAAAAGCAAATTCGCTCGCAATCTCAAAATATCATCAACTTGGCAACAAAAAAAATTTTTTTTTAAAGAGGTAATACCTCAAATTATATGTGAGCTATCTGCAGACTTCTAACAGTTTTCTGCAACACTTAACCTAATATCTTACAGAATAATAAAGGAAGTGTAAACCTAAACTCAACTGTTACACAGATATTAAATATAACACAAAATAAAATAAAAATGTACACAAAATTATAGAAAGCCAAGATTTAAAACAATAATATTAAATATGTTGCAGAAAAATAAAGTATGAAGAAACATTAACATAATTTTATAATAATTTCTTAACAAATGTAATTCATAATTTTTACACTGGAAATTCATTAAACATGTTATATGCAAACCTACATTTATGAGCGTAATATGATGCTTTAAGAGAAATTAAAATTTTATTAAAAGAATTATTTCCTAAAAATAACTGCATCAAAATTAGAATCAACTAGTGTATTAATATGAGTATACTGTTGTCAATTTTTCATAATGTTAATATAAAGTTAACTCCCTGTATTTTTTCAGTCTATTTTGAGCATTTTTTAAAATTAAATGCTACATATGAATCAACAAGATTTTAAAGGATTTGATAAGTCACTATTATTTAAATGAATGTAAAAAAATGATGTGCTGAATATAACTTCAAAAATAATAAACATGAATCAGAACTTCTTTGAAATGTTCTTACTTTGATTCTAAAAAAGGAAAATTATAACACCATCCTTGGTTTTTGTAATTATTAAGGTCCAAGAGCATTTTTGTCTTGGAAAATGGTAATCCATTATTTTGAGAACTGAAGAACTTCTTTTTCATTGTTTTCAGTCTAATGAAGGCAAGGTTTGTAAACCACTTTGAAATTTGATAATGTATTTATATCTTTGAATGAAAGCAACATCATCATTTGAATTAAGATTTTCACAATTTAATAAAAAATATTGCAGACTGAATAACAGTAAAGAAACAAAATTGAAAGTTAACAAGAAGAATGCTACTCTACACAATTAATAAAGGCTTCTGTCTGCAACAGTTTATGATGTTTATTTTCATGAGGTAAAAATTGTTGTAAACATATATGCATACGGAAAAATATAAAATTTTTATGGTGCTCCATTTCTTATTTTGGGCAGTATATATAAAATCTTTTTATTGTACGTATGTTAAAGAGTAAATAAATAATTTTTACATTAGCATCCAAAAATTCATTCTGATAAAACTTTTATTTCATATTCCTGCAAGATTTATAGATTTTACCACTTCTGAAATATTTTTAAAGGATACGAGATGCATAGAAGAATATAAGGGGCAAATAAAGATGTCATGACATTAAGAAGTCGTGTCAGAACAGACTGTGAACCAAAAGGAGGAAGCACCAGAGATGAGCCTACAAAATTAAATCAGTGTATCAAAAGATTAAATAATTCACACTAAAATTTCTAGAGTAAATTTTCATTCTTTTAAAGCATGAAAGAAAAATAGTACTTCCTGATTATCTGCGCTTTCATGAAAATTTGCCAACTTATTACCAACTTTCTGAATCAGCATAATAAATAATTGAATTAGAATACTTTGCAAAGCAACAAATAAAGAATTAAAAAAATATATCTAAATTAGTAATTTTTAGAATCTCATTTTATTTACAAGCTCAAACTTTCTAATTGGAGATTCAAAATTTTTAATAAAAATGAAATATCCAAAAAAAATTCTGAACACAAATTCTATATTAAAAAACATTAATAATCACGCTAGGACACTTCAAAGGAGATTCAATTTTAATAAAAAAGTCAAGTAGTAATAATGTCTGCAAAATTTAAAAAAAAAATGGGACATGCGTAAAATGATGGCAAGATAATTTCTTAAAAAAATGACAAGAACAAATTAAATTAAAAAATTTAAAAAAGTGTTTGTAATTGAAAATATGAATACTTAAAATAATGAAAATATTTTGCAGAATACAAAATATCTTTTAAAGTAATAAATAAATTTATCTTGAAGAAATTCAGAACTTAAAATTTTTTTTTATAAATTCAAGAATTAAAACTTTCTTGATATCCTCATTTATAAAAAAAATCTTTTTCTCCATATTATTTTCTCAATTTTATAAATTTCACCTTTATCATATAAAAAAGTTCCTTTTAATTTCCACATTGATTAAAACTTTTTAATCTATAAGTACACTGCTGGCCATTAAAATTGCAAAAAGAAAGCATATACAAAAAAGATATTTACTGTACGTAAACAGTGTGGCATGAAGACAAAAATTATTAAATTTGTACGCAGTTTGGGGGTTTACAGAGGTTCAAAATTAGTAGAAACAGCTGCTACCCCTAGCAACTGAAACAGCTCTCATCTGGTCAGGCATGGAGTCAAACTGGGCTTGGATGATAGAATTTGGCAACTCATACCATGCTGCTTCAAGTACATATGCCACACTTTATTAATCACATTAGCTGGAGAGGGATGACAAGCCAGTCTCTCAGCAACCCATGACCAGATGCCTTCAATGGGTGACAGATCTGGAGACTTTGCGTGCGAGTGCAGCAATCGAATAATAATAATAAGATTAATAAGAAGATAATGTTTGTCGGGACTCTAAGATAGGGCACAATCAGTGGACCTAAGATGTCAGAAATGTACCAATCTGTGTTCAAGTTACCACCGTTCTAATGGCCATGTATCCAATGGCTGTCCACAAAATCACACCAGGTATAGCGGCTCTATGCCGATATCGAATGCAAGCAGGCGATGTGCAGTCTCCTCGAAGCCTCCTGACATGTATACAGCCATCAGAATACTGCACACAGAACCGAGACTCATCTAAAAATACAACACTGTGCCACTCATGTTTTAGCTTTGTCATTTGCCTTACCAAAGTAGCTGTCTTTTTCTATGTTGCATTGTCAAGGGAAGCCGAAGAAATGGTTGCTGAGCTGATAGTCCCCACTGCTGCAAACATCGATGGACCGTACAAGCGGATACTGGGCGTGCTGCAAATATGTCCATTTCATGGCTAATGATCCGTGATGTGGTTGTACAGTTTTGCAGGGCTGACCTCACAACATGTCTGTCCCCTCGATCGTTAGTCATGTTAGGGAACTGAAATCCTACATGCCATTCAGTATGACCCTCAGCAACCCATTGATTCCATATTCACATGACAGTAGTTGGATGTTGACAGCGCGAAAACCTCACTCTTGATTCTGCCTCTATCGAATTCCTACACTTGCTAGTAAGCATTTATTATTATTATTCGAGGTGTAACACAATATTGTGAGCAAACTCTGATCTTACAAAGCACTTTCCGAATGAGAAATCCACAACACAACTTCTTTTATGCAGTGCTTCAGATGTCGCTTCTCCCTCGTGCGTCGTATAAATGCTCTGAAGTACTAATCCTTTGCATATTCCAACCTCTTCTTCCTTTCATGTAATTTTTACGTTCGTCAGATCATGCCTTCCTGGTGTTGCAATTTTAATGTCCAGCAGTGTAGAAGGATCAGTGTTTACAACTTCAACAAATAATAAAAATCTCCTCCGTAAAGGATTTATTATATTCCCTGGTGAAACTGGTTTTAAATTTAGGAATTCTAATGGTATCTCTGATTTTAAATTTTGGCCTTTTTAATTTCTCTAGGGTGATTGTCTAGTTGTGATATATTTCTCTAGTTGTGTCTAGATAGACCCAATCTTTAGCAACTATTTCCATTACTTCATCTATCCATCTAGACCAAATTCTATACATAGTAGATACATCTACGTGCAATAGAATGGTAAAATAAGAACAAACAGCTATATATAAGCCTACAATACGACCCCTCATAAAATTGTCTGTTTGATGGAATTGCCTATGGTGTCATTGCCTAGGCATCATTTCATTCATACAAGTCTTCTCGATGTTAAACTTCTCAAAATTTTGTATTCCCTAAGCAGTAGAGAGTAATGACTGCTGGTTCATCTGCCATTTCCTTCTCTTTTATCTCATGCTATAATCACATGACCAACTTGCATATTACATCATCTGCATGAATTTTTCCTCTATGTATTCCCAGAAATTTGTATACCTGGCAGAATTTTCTATGTCATGCAGTGTACATAAAATCTTTTTCTCAAAAATTTCATTTTCTTTTGCAGTTTTTAATCATTGTTAGAAAAGCTAACGAAAATTGTCGCTAAAATATTTTTGAACAAAATAATCTAGATGCTTTTATTTTGTCATGCATTTATCAGTATAAACATTGTTATATAGTAAAATGTCTCAATTTATTGATAAGAGAATTAATTAGTGTAATTGTAATTATTTGTAAACTAGAATTATTCTAGTGTAATTTTGTTTTTTAGTGACAATTTTTTTTATTCTTTGATGTAATAGGAGATTTTTTTCCCCAAATTATTTATCTGAAAACCAGTGCTTCAATGTTATTTTTGCTTATTAAATTTTAATTGGAAAATTGAGAAAATCAGGAAATAATTGTGTGTAAAATCTGGAAGGCTAGAGAGATTTTCACTGCACCATTTTCAAATTATGGAAAAGCAGTAGAATGTTCTCAAACATTTCTTTATTGTTTCTTATCTTGCACGAGGTCTTGAGTATATGATTCTCCTTCAGTAAAGGTCAACAGTTAATGTTAGGTTATATGGAAGGGTCTACAGGTTTGGCGCTGGCTGTGTTCATGCTTGGCTTCCGGGCTTACTGGCCGCGCTTGTCCAAAGGATTGTTTTTGACTGATTTGGCGAAAAAATGGTATTTTGTAGTTTTGGGTATTCAAAACTTGAAAATTTTGGTATACTAGTGTTTTTTCGTTATCGTGAGAAAAACTTGGTGACCTCTTTTTTTTTTTTTTTTTTTTTTTATGTTCTTTGTCAGGATAGGACCATTTTCTGGGTTCTTGGAAGTCTCGTCATTTTATGTTTTGCTTATCACTAGCCAGTATGGCTCGACAAAAATGTCTTCTGATTGTTGATGGCTGCACTTCTCACAGTGATCCATGAGCAACTAAGCTAAAACGGCATGAAATTATACAATGGGTTTTAAGATTTTCTTCTGAGGTTACTATTGACAGAAATACTTTTGTGGGTTCTTGCTTGGATGAATTTAAGAAGCTCTGAAATTCTTCGGCCGAGCATGTTTTTTCCGGGAAAGAAAAGTGTTTTTCTGGTGGGGCCTGTGGCTTTATTAGTTTCTAGCCCTTTAGTGCTGTGAACTATGTATATTTCACATTTATCAACATGCGCTATCAAGACCATGAGCATGTTCGTCTCATCCCTAGTATGCTGTTCCTGAGATCCAGTCTTCCCAAATATCTGAGTTGAGGCCTCGCCAAGAGCTCACCGAGTTTGCTGATTTCGACTAGGCACGTTCCTGAATTCTTCAAAGGCAAAGGTGCCTGTTCTTCTTTCAAGCTTCTGTTACCAATGGTGAGAAGTATCTTCAAGGAAAAGGTTTTTTTTTTTTTTAAATTTATCTTTATTTTCTCGTTTACATTTTCATCTGCTTAATGGATGGAATTTTGATGGACTAAATTAATTAAAATTTAATTTTAAGGGATAAATTGATAATATTCCTATGTTAAGAAAATGCCTCTTTAACCTATCTGGCTGAGGAAAGAATTTTATTCTTAAATGAATGATTAATAATGTTTGTTTTTCCTGTAACAGACTTGGTGTGTAAAAATGTGAAGTAGTGTACTCCAGTAGTTCTACTAGTGAACCTGGTATATAATTATTAAAAGAAAAGAAAGAATGTTTAATTGGGTACTCAATTTATTCTCATGAAATGATTACTTAATGTTTCCATTATAAAAAATAGTATAATCAAGTTCTAAACGTTTAACTAAAGACATATACTAATAAGCTTAAATTAATCAGTCGATTACTTGCTTTGCTTTAGTATTATTTTATTAATGATTCTCTTAAATGGTCATTCAACAGGCACGAACCTGGTAACACCTAACACAATGCAAACTACTCTATATTCGGTTTTAACTAAGATTTTGGTTAAATTGAATTTAATAAAGTATTTAAGTCATAACTTACAATTTCATTTATTATTTTGAGAAAATAATGAATTGGTTTTGAATGATATGTATTATTGATACTGTGAATTCAGTACATAACAAAATCATAGTGCCTTGTAAGCCATACATTACAAATGGTATTGTTCACAGTCAAGGTGTAAACGTGCATTGACATATTTAAAATAATCAAATCAAGTTCATAAATATTTAAAAGATATATTTTTTCACAATTTCAATATAAATTTTTGTATTATAGTTAGATGCCTTCACTTACAGGCAAGAGAAGTAAATTAAAATTAGATAAATATTGAAAAAACACATCGTGCACTGCTAAATTTAAATCAAAAATAAATCTTAGATAAAAAATTACCTAATATTAACCACGAAACAATTTGATTTAGCAATGGTAGCCCTTCCTTATTAGAAATACTACTTGCAGTACTTTGGACAGTAAATGTAGCAGCACAAAGCAATATAACCTACAAGAAACAAATTAATTGTTCATAACTGAAGCTGCAAATTATTAGTCAGTTACACAAATACAAGAAATAGAACTTACTTGAATTGCTGTAGTGATGACTATATTTTGAGGTTCTCTTCTGCACTGCCTGTTATTTAAAATCAAACCAGTCTCAGGCCTAGAAAAACAAATGTTAATGAATTACTTCTTAAATTCATGTAACATGTATCTAGATGTAACATGTATTCTAATGCATTTTGCATTAGAATATATTAGATGCAATACATATTAAAAAAAAATTACCTTCTAGCACAGAGACCAACACACAAGACAAACAACCAGCCAGCTAGAATGCTGGAAAAAAGTACTTCATTAGGCTTAAGATTTTATAACTATTAAATTGAAAATAAAACATGCTCCAAACTTTATTCTAAAATTTATAATTAGATATTATAATTATTAAGATAGGAAGAAATATATTTAGTGCCCATTTTTATTCACTGGACTACTTTTAAGTACAATAACTTAGTATGCAAGCTATGGATGTTTGTGTTTTTAATTTCGTTAATGTGTTGCTGTTTTATGCAATTTTCAGTGTGCTGCCATATTTTTTAAAAATAGCTACCATTTTTTATGTTGGGTGAAAAAGTAAATGCCCAAAACTGTCGACTTTGTGGGAGCGCTGGGTAGATAACACAAAATTTTGCAATACACTAAATATGCGACATATTTAAAGGCATAGCTACTTTTTTTATTTAAATTTCCCATTAAATGTGCAAACTATTGAGTGACATGAATTATGCACATAAGCATAGTTAAGTATTTTGTTAAAATTTAATACCTTGATGAAACTGGTTTAAAAATTCTTCATGAAGCTATTGGTGATACTACATGCTGGACTACTAGAATAAAAGCATTTACTTGCAAAATATAGAGATATATTTTCAAAATAAAAGTTTTTACAATAAAACTGAAGAAAATTGTGGAGAATTATCTCAAGATAATTTCACTACAATACTGACAATTGTCCTAAGCTTAATAAATACAAAAATTATACTTTCTGTTGGATATAATTGCACAGTAGATGTACTAAATAATTTTTTTGCACAGGCAGACTAATTTTGGATTACAAACAGAAAAACAAATTTCTTACACTAAATTGTAGTTGGACTCCCTGCCTACCACAGGCAACATGGGAAACACAGATAAAATTACACAGGTAGTGCACCAAGCAAAGCATAGTTTCTATATAAAGAGGAATAAAAATTAACAATTATCAGTTATAATTTTCAGCCACTAGTTATAAAAAAGATAAAAATATTATATACTTATAATATTTCTTCAAATATTTTACCTTATGAGGAGATGTCAAAGGTGAAAAAAATGGCCAGGATGCAATTGCCCACAGGATAAAAGATAAGATTTCTCTTTTAAAAAAGGATAAAACCTGAAAGTAAATAAACTTACCTGTACATCAGATTTAAATTCCATCTCGAATCATATATTATGACTGATATGCGTAAAACGGGTATAATCTTTCTCAACATTAAAATGTAAATGTTAAGCCATGTTAATAATCAGCTGGATGCATGGCTCAAAAAATATAATCAAGAGAAAAATAAATATAATTAAATAATTCAATAGCTGGTAATATTTTTAATTGATACTTGATTATGACACATAACACATATTTTGTAAACTGTGGTGATATATTTATATCCTATCATGCTAGTTATCAACAAATCTTAAAATCTGATCTCTATTAATTGTCTTACTGACAACAAATGGAACAAAACAATAAAGTGTGTAGAAGAAAAATGCTCATTTTCATAGATTAGCATTGGTAATAAAGGAGTCAGTCCGTGAACATCTATATATTGGATAACAACTAATTTATTAAGTAAACTGCACACACAAAAATAAATAAATAAATAAATAAAATAATGAGACAATTCTACATCTCCCATTCTACTGGGCCGATTGACAAAATTCAAATTGCATTTTTCATGTCTTGAAAGCGCAACTTAGGAAATATATTAGATTTTTAGGTACTTTTCCGTTTTGCTGGCGCAGGCGGTAAAGTTGCCAACAACTGATGCCAAATGTAATATCCTCGCTGGTAACCTCTTAAGCCTCATTTTCAAAACAAGTCACAGCCATTTCTTATCAGATTGATTGTTTCTTTCAATACTGGCATACAATTACATAAAATTTTTACCAGATAGTTCAATTTTATGCCCTAAGGCCATTCGCGGTAATTTAATCAATTAGGATGCAATCATACCGCTCATCCAAAGGCAAAGTCAAGGCTTAAATTCATCAATTCTAATGAGAATGCACTAGCGAAGTAAAGTACTGCGGTTTTACATTATTTTTGAGTAAGCTATTAGTACAAATTGAAATAATTCTTTCATTTAAACTTGTATTCCAAATTAAGATTTAACTTGAAATTAATGTAATTACTGATAATGTAATTACTAACTAGATTTTTGTAACGTAGTTAACGCGAGATGAGATCACTTGGGGCCACATGATATGAAGCGGCGAATCAGGATGTTGGACCGTAAAAGCATAGTAAATTCTTAATGTATTTTTACAGATTTATTGGCCTTTTTACAAAATTTTAAACGATATTAAAATGTTTATGTCTTTAAAATAAACATTTCTTAAGAACTAATATTTGTTAAAATTTTTAATGTGTATACTGTATGTTGTCGCCAATAAAGTCTGCTTGGCGAGATTTGCGCAGGCGAAACGTAAAAGTACCGATTTTATATAGCATTGCTCTAACATAGGTATTTTGACACAAAATCACACTTTTTTCTAAAATAACATATCAATTTCTTTTCCATATTTCGATTCTACAACTCAAATTATGCCTAGATATTAAATTTTGTAAAATTTGGTGCACAATTTATGGAGAAATTCAAAAATTTACCTTGGCACAATTTTTTCAGTTGTGGCAAGAATAATTCACTTGGCGAACTTCTTAATATATGGCAACGAATTTTCCTTTCACTTCCCCAACTCAATTAACATTGAGGAGATAAAATTTTGAAAGCTAATTTTTTAAAAACTACTCATGCGGTTTTTACAAAACTTGGTAGTTTGCCGTAATTTGAGCCGTAGGATGGAAATATGGAAAAACATTGGTATGTTATTTTAGAAAAAGTCAGATTTTGTGTCAAAATACCTATATTAGAACAATGCTACATATAAATCTAATACATATCCTAAGTTGCGCTTTCGAGAGATGAAAAATGTACATTAATACTTTTCAAGCCACCAGATATTAAAAACTATTTTGATACAAAAGGTGCATCACATTACATGCATTAATTAAAGATGTTTACTTAAAAATATCATCTATGAGAGTAAATTATAAATTTTTTTAGATTTGATTTTAATAATCCATGCGATTGTAAAATATTTAATCTCTAAGCAATATATATATATGTAATGATTTTAAAACCGTAGATGAAAGCAGTGGAACTCTCAACAGGTTATGATACTGCGTAGATGACCGAGAAGACCATAGTGGCTTGAAGGTGGCAGAGTGGAAAGCATGATGACGCAATATAGCACAACATATCTTGAAATATCACAATCTTTATTTTTTCCCCACGCATATCAAATCATCCTTTTTCAGGCAAGATGTTTCCTAATTATATTTGAATACATAAATTGCATTTTGAATTAGAACGTCATTTTAAGTAAGCAAGCAGCAGCAGCATGGTTTAAAAACGTCTTGCCAGCAGGAAAGCTATGCGGTAAAAAAGGGAAGGTTATAGTACTTTCATAGGAAGAAGGCTGGGAGTGGGAAAGTTTCAGTTCAGAGTTTTGGTTTAGAATTAATTTGATTGGACAAGAGGTTATCTGCATTACAACGTTATGTAAGATAGAAAACTCTGGAACCTGTGAGAAGAGATGAATTTAGGGGTAGATCATCAAATTTAGAATGTTAATTTTGAGATCATCAATGAAACAGCTATCATATTTTGTTATATCTTATATATATATACAAAGACTCATTTAAAAGTACTTATAACTGAAGGTATTTGTAAATAAGTTGTATAATTAAAGAAAAAACATCCAAGTACCACTTTATAGATTTCTTATCTTCATTATACAGGGAGGTGCAAATAAAAGTGGCCCAGAGAACAGAGTTCAATATTACAAAGAAACACAGCAAAGGAAAGGAAATACAGTACTAGCCTAAATACAGCAGATGTTGAAATTGACCACCATTCACCTTTTGGCACTTTTAGACACTGCTCAGCAAGTCACTGAAGACAGATTGAAGTTATACTGCAGGAATTGCTGCAATCTCATCCGAAATGGTCTGCTGCAATTCTTGAAGACTATGAAGGGTTGTTACGATACACATTAGACTTGAAGGTTCCCCCACAAAAAGTAATCGCACACTGGCAGATCAAGTGACCTGAGTGGCCAGCTAGGGTTGAGACCAGACTGACCTCTGCTAACAACTCTGTCAGGCACGAAGATTGTTTAAAAGTGATCCAAGGTGTGGCTGGCTGTATGGGCAGTTGCTCCATCCCATTGAAAATAACTGTAGGTCTTTTCCTCCTCAGTTAATGCTGCCACAAACGGATTAAGAATGGTGGAAATGTAATCTCTGAATTCACCGTCTGATGAAAGCAGATGAGACCAATAATGCAGCATGCAGACAATGCACACCAAACCCCTAAATTCTGACCATGCAATGGTGTTTGGTGGAAAGGTATGCAGATTCTCCGCTACCCAGAATCTGTGATTCTGTGAGTTGACATAACCATTCAGGTGAAACCAGGCTTCATCTGAAATAAAGAAAAAATCTATGCCCAAGAAATTCACTGAGATCTCAGTAAACAGCCACTCACAAAATTAGAGGCACTGAAGAGCATCTGCTGGGTTTAATGTATGACCAACAGACATTCTGAAGGGATGCATTTTCAGGCCCATACGGAGTATTTGTCACATCCAAGGCGTGATATGTCGGTCTCTTTTGACAGGCGCCAGGTTGATTTGGTAAGACTCTGAAGTATTTTCTGTTGAACAGGAGCCAAATTTTCTGGTGTTCAGACATATCTGGAAATATTTTTTGACTTGTTCAAAACAGCTCCTGTCTGATGCCATTTTCTGACTACTTGTTACATGGCATTCTTTGCTCACACTTTGGCACAATTAAACTTATGAGCAAACAACTGACCACACTGTTTTCATGACTTCATTGTAATGTAGCTTTTCACAATGAACACCCTCTGTTGCATTGTGAGTACTATTTTCACCTTTGCACTGCTCAACTCACACTGAAAACAGCCTGCACTAAGGTCTGAGCCAGTTTGGATAACGTGGTGTGCATACACATTGTGTGGTTATATGCATACATTTACATCCAATTGTCCGAGCCACTTTTATTTATTTTCCTTTGCCATGTTTCTTTGTAACTTGGCACTCTATTCTTTCGGCCACTTTTATTTGCTCCACCCTGTGCTATGCAACCTCTTTACATATGCAAAGAGTTTCTAATACAATTTTTTTTTAAAATCCTAGCATTAGGCAATTTTATTATCAATGTTATGCAGTACTGCTTTTTGGTACGATAAAACTGTATCAAATAGATATTCAAAACGAATAGTAATTCAGGAATTTAAATATGAAACAAATTTATGGACTGAAACAATGACACAGATTAAAATAAATGCAAAGTTTCTCAAAAGGAATAAGTTAGAATACAAAAATATGATCTTTTACCAAAAGTTCCACTGCTATGAAACTAAGCACAGAAAGAGATATGAATCTGTAAAGAACATTTCTTCGCTCGATGTATAATTTAGCTGAGTTTATCAAATCCCACCTGAAAGAAAGAAATAATTTTTATCACAAATAAATAATTATCATTTTTTTGCTTTAATAAATGATTAAGGAACATGACAATCCATTAAAAATTAATGAAAATTTTAAAATTCATAAACTGTTTCACAATATTTTCTAACCAAAACATTATTAGCAAATTATATATATAAAAAAATTTAAACTAAGATAACTAATTTTAATAAATTATAATTATACTAAAGTAATTTACATACTGTAAGGATACCATCATCCATAAAATAACAGGCAGCAAAAAATATGCATAATACATCACAGAAGCATTTTGAACTGTAAAAGATAAAATATTTATTTATGAAATAAATGTTACCAGTGTAAGTAAAAAATTATCTTTCTAATTATATTTTATGCTCTATGAAAAAATATAATCATTAAAATATGGAAAATGAATAAATTATAGCCCAGCTAATTTTAGCTATTTTAATATGCAGATATAATTATTTCAAAGACTTAGCTAATCTTTTACAGACAATTATTTTTAAAACAATGTACTGTATCATTTGCATCTAGCTCCAAATGATACAATTTTGATCTGCATCTACAAAATAATATTACAAACAAAATTGCAAATAACTAATAACATCAAGGCAGTAGTAGACTTCCATGAAAAATATAGCAAATGGCTAGAAAAAGGAATTGAAAGCTATGAAAAGTCTCTGTTGGTTCTCGTGGGTAGAAATGGGATGATGTCAAAAAATATTCCAATTCTTGAATTTTTTAGCCTCTTCAGTAAAAATGCTTAATACTTTCCCCTTAAAAATAGCTTTATTAAATTTTTTGTAAATAACAGAAAACAGTGATTTATATTACAATTGTTTTCATCATATTTTTTCAATAACTAAAGAAATGCATGGGATCCTCAATTATAGATAAATTATCACTAACATTTCTCTGAACTGCATCTTTATACCACATGTTTAAAAGATAAAAGATGTCAATATTAGCTGTTCATAAAATTATTCTTTTTCATACAAAATCTCAGCAATATGGAAAAATTTACAGGTTTCAGTATTATTATTATTACATACATTCATAATAATATATTCATACAAACATGATTAAAGAGTTCAAAAGAAAACTCATACAGATCCCTTTTATTTTAGAATGAACAGCCCCAGATTGCATATGTTAAGTTCATTAATAGAGTGGGCCAACCAAATAAAAGGAATAACTGTTGAACACCAGTGGAAAATTCACCAAATAACTGTTGTACACTAGTGCAACATTTATGATCTTATTCTTTAATAAAATGAAACAAATGAAAATAACCAATAACAAAATGGTAAAGCATTATTTAATTACTATGAATTGGCCAGAAAGGAATTAAGGCTAAGGTACCCTAATAATTAGAAAATATGTCTTTGTAAGATGCTTTATGCAGAGATTCATTTTTTCTTACTTAAAAGTATCAACTTCGACTTATGCCTGCATAAAAACACGGTTTTTTATTATTTTTCTTTTTATGCTGACTTGTAATTCTCTAACAACCCAATTTTTTTAATAGTGTTTTATTATCTTTGAAATAATTTTGAAATTTTTGACAGATGTTTTGAAATTATATACTGTGTCCCAACAAAAGTGCCAATCTTCAAAGAATGGACAATATTTTAATATGTTTACACAGATAAATGTTCCAATTTAAGAATGAAAAGTGATGTATGGCATATGTCCTCTACAACTTGCTCTGCAACACCATACTCTCTCAATGTAATTTGTAATCACTTTTTCAAAAGTCTGCCTATCATTTGTTGTTTCTCTTTAAGTTTAGAGGTTTTTTTTTTTTTTTTTTTTTTTTTACAGACCAGTTAAATTGAGAGCGTGGTGGTTTAAAGCCTGCTAAAAAGACCTATATCCTCAAATTTCTTTATCAGTCACCAAACTATTGTTTCATTAGGTGTACTTTTATATCCAAAGATTCAACTGACAATGATAAAATACCAGTGTTAGCAGGTAAAATCAAACATGGCATTATTTAATCAGAATATATAGCTTTTTTAAGTATGTAAAAATATTTTTCATTTTCTAAGAATATTCTTTCAGTTGGGGCACACTCCTTGGAACCTCAGTAACATGTGTCCAACAACTTAAATATCTATGTATAATCCTTGCTTTCATGAATACCTCATATCAAGAGCTTTCAAGTCCTGCATATGTCCTGCATATTTCAAGTCCTGCATTTCAAGTCCTCCATGTTTTTATGCACCTTACAAACAGATTAAATTGGACAACATACCTCAAATGCAAATACCCTCACATCCGCTTAAACACTGGTACTACGAGGGCCATCCAGGAAGTAGATTACGTTTCCGTCTGTGTCCGCTAGGGGCGGGGCTAGCGCGGCCATCTTGGGGTCAGAGCGTTGCGCAGCTCAGTCTGCATCTAGCCGTGCTAGTGAGAGGTTCGTGCTGTGCTCCGTTCAGATACTGTGACGGTTTGAAATGTCTGCGTTAATTGAAAATCCCGCGAGCTGCGCTCAGTAATAAGGTTTCTGACTGCAAAAAACTGTAAACCGATAGAAGTCTATCGGCAGCTTCGTGAAGTGTATGGGGACAACATTATCACTGAAGGTGGAGTGCGTCAGTGGGTCATAAGATTTCAAAATGGCCGAACCAATGTTCACGACAAAGATTGAAGTGGGAGACCCAGCATAGTGACCGCCGAACTTCTCGAAAAAGTCGATGCTAAAGTCCGTGAAAATCGAAATTTCACAATAACGGAACTTTCTTTGAGTTTTCCACAAATTTCGCGAAGTTTGTTGCACGAAATCATCAGCAAAAAGCTTGGTTACCACAAGTTTTGTGCAAGATGGAAGGCAAGAAGAGGTAACGAAGTGGTTGAAGGCGCAGGCGGCCGAATTTTTCGACGAAGGAATTTCCAAGCTCGTACATCGCTACGATAAATGCCTTAATTTGTATGGTGACTATGTAGAAAAGTAGTATTTGAGTGTGGCTTTCATCTGTATATAATAAAATTTGTTTCCTATACTTTGTTTATTTTTTTATTCCAAAACGTAATCTACTTTCTGGATAGCCCTCGTATATAATCACAGAGAGAATAAGACTCACTGACACAGCAATTTGGGGAACTGCAATGTCAGGAAATGCAAGAAAGAACCTATTACTATTCAAAGGATGCAGCTTTTATTGATTTGTCATGCCTATTGCACAATTTCGATGATGGCATTCCAACAGATTGCAATAATGCTACCTAGAGACTTTGTATTAGAAAGACAAGCTACATTAGTAAAAGTTACAGATTGAAACAGAAAACCACAGCTCATTAGTATACCAGATTCAAAAGTTTCTCTTAAATACACCAGTAGCTAAAAGACCACACTTTCAATGACTCCAAGCACACATAGCTATACTTGATATTGAAGTAACAGATACACTGGCAATGCAGGCAGCAAATGATGCATCATAAATAATACAACTTATACAGCTTCCAATATCACACATAAAGTGTTCTGCATAGGAAACTAATCAAATTGTGGCAGGAACATTGGTCTACAGTTGAGGTCAGATGTAGGATGTATAATATGTTTCCAAAAGTAGATGTTGAACTGAAGTCCCCAAAAAACCAGTACAATCCAATCTGTCACTGGTATCACTGAACTGTTTCAAACATACTTGTGCAGGTTTGAACTTAGAAATACAGATATATGTGAATGCAGTAGAAAAGGAATGCCATCTTACCAGATTTAAACTGATGATCTATAATCCTGAAAAACCGATAATCCAGAATCACCGAAGTCCCGACGAGGCCAGATAAAAAAGACTTCTGACTGTACTTCTTTTATTCTTCGAGTTGATTTAATTTGTGATAAAGTAAATATTGAATCTGATGTTCCAAATATTTTCAGAGATATGGTGCAACAATTAGTTTCGAGTTACGTACCGTGTAAAACTAAAACAACAAACAAAGAAATGAACCTTTTGGCAAAAGATAATGAACCTATATTTCATCAGACTCATAGGTTGCCGTTTTCAGAAAAAAGAATTGTTGAAGCTCAAATAGCTGAATGGTTAGCACAAGACATAGTAGAACCTAGCTCTTCAGAATATTGTAGCCCAGTTGTAATCGTTAAAAAGAACGACGAAACACCTAATTTATGTATTGATTATAGGAGATTAAATAAAGTAATAGTAAAGGACAGGTTTCCACTTCCATTAATTGAAGATATTCTAGATCGGTTACAGGGATCACATGTGTTTAGTATGCTTGATCTTAAAAATGGGTTTTTCCATGTTGACGTAACCAAGGATAGCAAGAAGTATACACCATTTGTAACACACGAAGGTTCATATCAACTTCTCAAAGTTTCTTTTGGTCTATGCAATTCTCCAGCTGTATTTCAGAGGTACATCAACACCATTTTTCGACCTTTATTTAATGATGGTATTGTTTTGCCATATATGGATGACGTAATAATCTTGTCGTCCTCCCTTGAAGAAGGAATCGAACAGGTCTTAAAGCTTGCTAGCGAATAAGGATTCAAGATTAATTTTAAGAAATCTAATTTTTTGAAGAAGTGAATCGAATTTTTGAGTCATCTTATCGAAGAAGGTAGAATTTTCCCATCAACTTTAAAAACAAAAGTGATCCTTAATTTTCCAGAACCGACTAATTTGGAACAAATTCAGAGTTTTCTTGGAATCACCAGATATTTCAGAAAAATTATTCCATTATTGCTAAGCCTATGAATGATATCTTGAAAAAAGATCGTAAATTTAAATTTGACGAGGAAGAAAGAAATTCTTTCGATCGGTTAAAGTTATTATTAGCTGAAAAGCCTGTCTTAGGAATCTATAACCCCAATTATGAGACTGAATTGCACACTGATGCTAGCTTAGAGGAACATGGAACAATTTTAATGCAGAGGTCTCCAAACGATAATATCACCACCCTACCTATTTCATGAGCAAAGAAACCACAGACGCAGAAAATAAATACTTTAGTTATGTGCTTGAAGCTTTAGCAATCATAGAAGTATTAAAAAAATTCCCTGTGTACCTACTGGGAATTCCTTTTAAAATTGTTACTGACTGTTCTGCATTTGAAAAGACTATGTCGAAACGTGAATTATAAACTCGATTGCTCGTTGGGCTTTATTACTAGACGAATTTAATTATGTGATTGAGCATCGCTCTGGTGCTAGGATTGCTCATGTTGACACACTAAGTAGATCCCCCATTAATATTCTTTGTGTTTCAGTAGACAACATCTTGCCAAAGTTAAAATCGGCTCAGGATAAGAATAACAGAATAAAA